CACAGGCAAACTGCCTAATTGAAAAGTCATTTGCTTCTGCGCACCCATAAATTGCATGCAAACTCAAACGACTACTTATATTTGTTATGAGTAGGTATAGAAATGACCAGTATTCTCCAGGTCGTACTAAATGGTGGCTGATTGATATTTGCATTTTTCCCATTCTCAATGTTGCATTTCTCCTACCTTTGACTTTTAAAAGGTATCCTTATCCTGACTGAAATGGACTAGACTTTGGGTTTTGACCTCGTCCGAACTGGTCACATGCCCATCCTTTGCGGGACTTGAATCCAAGCTGGGATAAAGAGCAAATGTCAACTACCAATTCTTTATCAGCATGTGCGACCTCGTGGGAATATATAACACTTATTCAGCTATACTTATAACTTCAAAACCTACTCAAACCGATTATAAGTAGTGTACTCGATTGAAACAACAATTAAAATTTTGCCTTGTCGACGGGCAATATATAAAAATGTGCCATGCAAAAGGCCTGGCTTGCCTTTAAATGTGCATATGCGCTGTGAATCATTGTTGGTAACATGTCACCCCAACAGCCTTAGGTTCGAGTCCAGATGGAGGTGCCAATTTGGCTTGTTCAGGCGAGGTTGAACCAGCAATTCAGTTCAGTCCAGTCGGAATGATAAGATCCAAATGAAACCCAATGGCCACTCGAGACTCTTTCATGTGATTGTGGGAAATTTCGACACTCAGTCCTTGATTGGGGAGACTTCACCTCCTACTTGAGTGCATATTCCGAGCGCTGTCTTCTAAAGGTTCCCGTTAGCCTGAAGACGTGTCTCGGGATTGTGCTCGTCTCAACGGGTCCCGGAGTGTTAGTTTTCCAGTACGCGAGAAGTCCGATTTGTACCTTTCTCCTCTTCGACTGTTTTTTTGCCACTTTTCACGCCGTTTTCGAGGTTTCATGAAGAAGACTACCTCGAGCAGACCCTTCGAGACTGTACAGCTCAAGTCTATGATACCGTCCGTAGATGAGGTCAGAAAGAGTGGCTATTGCCACGGCCTGACAGTCTGGTTGCCGGAGCAACGGCATTACATGCAAGCATGCCTGTTGAACGACAAAAGTCTGGTTGCCGGGGCTCTTGCTTACCGGTTGGGTTGTCGACGCTTCGCTCCTCGAGACAATCATTCTTCAACCCGATGATGTTGTGCAAGGCAAAACGGTCCCTTAAATGTCTGCGGGCGAC